GTCTAGATTGGGGCTCATTCACTTTCTTGGAAATGTCTAGATTGGGGCTCGTTCACTTTCTTGGAAATGTCTAGATTGGGGCTCATTCACTTTCTTGGAAATGTCTAGATTGGGGCTCATTCACTTTCTTGGAAATGTCTAGAATTGGGCTCATTCACTTTCTTGGAAATGTCTAGATTGGGGCTCATTCAGTTTCTTTGCAAACATTGAAGGGACTCGTTCATTTTCTTCAATTTTTTTTTTTTTAGAAAGGGCTTATTCTCTTTCTTGCAATTGTCTTTAGAGGGGTCTTGTAACATTTCTTGGAAATGTCTCTAGAGGGGGCTCATTAACTTCCTTTGAAATGAGAGCAGTGAGACTGAAACCAGAGCCTCTTGTTGCCTACTATTCTGTGGTAAAATGTATCGATTGCTTTTTATTGCAGCCTATGTCAGGAGGTGTCCTTGGACAAATGACTTCAATGGAAGGCATGGTGATGGGCCCAGGGATGCCAGGCGGGACAGCAATGGGTCCAATGATGTCACAGCCAGGTATGATGTCACAGCCAGGCATGATGTCACAGCCAAGCATGATGTTACAACCAATGATGGCTCAACCAGGCATAATGACTCAACAAGGTATGATGTCACAACCGAGTATGATGTCGCAACCCAATATGATGTCACCACAAATGATGTCGATGATGTCACAGCCTCAGATGACATCAAACGTACCCTCAACAATGACGATGACGACAGCAGCAACAACAAACTCAATGAAGTCGATGTCTGCACCTCAAACACCGAAGGTAAATTGGATCATTCTAAACCATGCAACACCACTTAACAAAATAAATATCGTCTTGAATGGTTTTGAAAAATCTTTTTTAACTATAATAACTGCTTTTTCTGTGACAGAAAGATACTATCTGGGCAGATAGCAAAGTGAACATAAGCCTGGACTCTCTGAGTCCTGCAGATAAGTACAAGAAAATTGTACAGCCTTCAATGAATGAACTTTCATCAAATAATCAGCCAAGTAAGTCAGTTTTTTTGCAGTTCCTATATTTATTACTCATAGATGCTACAGCTTGGTTTTCTGAATTCCCACTAGTATAGAAAGAGTTTTGTGGAACATTAAATAGCCCTATAATATGCATACTAGTTCTTTCCTCTTGAGACTTTGCATGGATGTTGCAAGAATATCTCCTTAGTCTCATTAAATAAAGTTACTGTGTTGAAGGTCGGGCCATGACAAAATCTTAAAATACACGAGAAAAGATTTAAATCTTGATCTTGCTTACCCTTTCCTTTTATTTTGTAATCCTTTTTTTTTTTTCGTCATTATTTTGTAATCCTTTTTTTTTGTCGTAGGTGCAGCGTCAAGTAATACTCCATCACCGGTTGTACAAGGACAGGTGTACAATCCCACTAACATGACTGCCATGACGGCTGGAATGGGAAATATGAACATGGGAATGCCAATGAACATGTCACCCATGCACACAAATATGGGCATGCAAGGAATGGGCATGCCTGGCAATGTGGCCATGCCGCAAGGAAATATGGGAATGATGATGGGAGGAATGCCGGCTGGATCACAGATGATGGGAAACTATGGCAACATGATGAAATGATTGAACAATTGTTGCATGGATTTTTTTTTTTTGTAAATCAGGATTAAAAAAAAGTATTTTCTCAAATATAGAACACAATTTGTAAATATGGGAGGAATTCTTCAACCTTTTTTTCTGCGTTGTGTTTTGATCTTGAAGAACGCTGTAAAAAGAAGGTTGATTGCTGCATTGTGGAATGCTTATCAGGGCTTTTTAATTGCATTATTATTTGGCTTCACATCTCACTAATCTTGTCGTAAAACGTCTTGAATACGCAGAAAAGCACAAATGTAGCATACCCTTCAGTAATATAGTGGAGTAAAAGCTGTCTAAAGCAAACACCAAAGGGAATGAGAACGTTGTTCAGTTTTAAAGATGTTTATAGTGTCAGTTTATATATATTCTGTACAAATCAGTGTTCGGTTTAGACAGTTATTTTTTTACACCAGTGACCTGTTAGGACTACATGTATTGTGAAATTTTTCAATTCTTGACTTGTCTCTCAGTACAAACTGGTACAATTAGCATGGAATTTAATATAAATGCATCTACCGGTAGTTTGAAGGGCAGTGGTCGTTGCGCCATGTCAAGTTAGCTACAAGTCTAATGTGCAATTAAATCAAATTCAGTCGCACGCTGTGTGACGACCACTGCCCTGATGTAAGTATAGAAAGCTTATTACATCACTCTGTACTATGTAATGGACAATAGTTCTCTTCATAAATTACCCATCTTATTTACATACACACCATGGCTGCTCATAGACAAAACTTAAATGATGACATAGTGGGTAAAGCCTTGATAATTGAATTGTATGTGTGTTCCATTGACTGAAGAACTCACAATGCAATTTTGACGTCTTCGTACCAAATTATTATTAAAGGTTTTCATTCCTCTCAGTTGAGTAGTTGTACCCTATGGCAGAGTCATGGAAACTGTTAATTTAAATTTTATTTATTGAATCTTGTTTCAAACATTGTACGGTACATGTTACATTTTGCTTTTGATACAGTGTTTCGTTGACTTCTAAAAACATCTGCTGTTCAAAATGGACCAATCTGATTGGCTGATATTCTAGCCTCATTTTCAGTTGCATGTATTGTGCATTGGTTTAAGGGTCGGTTACTAGAATATTAATGAGGCAAAGTTACACCTTGACTCTAATGATTTTGATGCAAGTTTCTTTCATAGCATAGATGTGCCATTTCATTTTGCTGCAAAATTAGAAATATCGGGCAATCAGGGAGAAGGGAAAAAATACGCATGTTGACTGAAAATGACACATCTCGATTCCTCGGGGATATAAACAGTCGTGTAAAGCAAGGTATACATTTTGCTTTACAAGTAAAACTGCCTCATGTTTTAAATTAACAAGAATGCAAAATATTTGATTTAGTCAAGTCGTGTAACGTGATTGACTGTCCAGTGCAATTTTGATTTCATTGATGCATTTTTGATGTCGCTATTACCGGTAGGAAAACTTTTTAAAACGAGTCTTATTATTAGGTGCAGCGCCCTCAACAACCTCATCATGAAAACTTTTGTTTTTATTAAATGAATAATAATCGAGTTTTTGTAGGCGAAAGTTGCTCTTATTTGGGAGCGATGAAGAACTTTTTAACTATTTAATGGTACAATCAGTAATTGTCTTTGCTTGTTCACAATTAGTAAGACAATATGGAGGCAATATGAATGGAGAGGTGTGAATGCATTGTTTCAAGTAGCTATAGTAACCAAATGATAGCTACATTAGTTGAAAAGGAAACTCTTACCCAGTTTATGTATCCGATTTATCAGCATGCAGCCAATACAACAGCTTTCTTTTTTTATGAACAGCTAAATCTCAATCGCAAACGATGCAGTTCAATTATGTAAACAAAATTTATAATAAATGAAAACCAGGGAGCTATTTTGTATCGGGTTAATATTGGGCTGGGATACTGTAAATTTCAACTGGTTTGTTGGGTTATTTAAATAGCTTTTCATTTTTTATGAAAGTTTATTAGGATGTTAACATTTTAGTTTTTTTTTTTTTTTAAATTAAGTTACTGTAGATTGCTGCATTGCATGTTGGGTAGGTTAGATTTCAGTATTACGGTAATGTAATGAACATATGAATATATCTGGGTACAGTGTGAATACTGTCAATAAAATAATATCTCTATGGAATTCTTTCTTTTATTTGTGCTTGCTTTATATTTATTAATGCATCTTTTTCCTGCA